TGCCATTTGTTTTAACAAGTCCTGTTTCGAGCAGGAGTGGCACGGTGAATGGGTTACTGCTGATCGCCCTCCCTTCAAGAAGATCAACTAGTTATCGACCGAATAAGGAAAAAAGCTAGAGGGAATGTGTCACCCTGAGGCCTGAACCATCAACGAGACTAGTTGCCAGTAGCAGTCATGGCTGCAGGCCGTGGTGCCGAGATGGAAGTGGCCCGTTCACTCATATTTTTTAGTAAAAATCTGAGCAAAAAGGTAATTTTTACATGGCATGCTAGAAACACGAACCATTTAAAAAGTAATTGACCGAATAACATAAAAATCATACCATTTACTGAAAATGTATGCCGCATTGACTATTGGAAGTTTCAATGTTGTATCTTTATCACTTTCTGAGAAATATTGATTTAAAGTTGGGAACTTTTTTCTGGGCCACCCGGTATATCTCTTTAATAGTGTGTCGAGTGTACATAGGTTAAAAGGAACCTCATATCTTCAAAAAAGTTTATGAATTGGCATGAAAGTGATGTCGCTCGGTTCAGAAAGAGCGAAAACGAATATCTACCAAATTTCACCGAAAAATATTCACCGGTTTTCAAGATATTAGACTTTTTTTGTTTACTTTTTGGGATCTCCGCTGTTCCTAGCGACTTTATTTGGAAGCAATAGTTTGGCAGCTGAAAGTGCGGCACTTGTTGCGCGCAAAGCAGCATATATCACCGCGTGCTACAAAACGTTTAAGTCAAACATTTAAAAATCGTTAGATATCTGCGCTGACGTCACACATTCAGAGGGGTATTCCTATGCATTAGCCCCTCTGAATCAAAATGCTGCAATTTTTAAATTCAATATTTCCGATTTAAGACAATTCTCGATGTTGTGAGTGCCGAAACCGGTAATTGTGAGCCAGTGACCCCATTTTGGCTATATCAACTCAAATCTAATGTTAAGGTGGGAGGGTCCCTTTAACGCGTGACATGCGCAAGAGTGAATTAAGGAAGCATCTTTATGGGAGCATTTGGCCCCGAAGAGCCGAAGAGTGTAATTATTTTTTTGTGTGTGTGAAGGGCTCAATTTTTTCATATGCAGAGCCACTTGACTTGGTGATCAGATCTTAGGTGCTGTGGCATCAAACTTGTTACACGGGCTGCAAAATGTATGTGTTTTAGAGCTGTTTTGCCAAGTGATTTTGCCAATTTTCGCGGCGCTTCGCGCCGCCAATTCATACTCGAGTCAAAAAGATATCGTGAGTTGTGACTAATAAAGCACCCTCACACGCAGGTATGTATGCATTACCTATCAGACTGGTGGCACACTTCAGTCATCTCATACCTCGTAGAAGACAAAAGTCTAGTGCCGTTAACGGTGTCAAATTGAATTGGACTTCAGACTGTACTGTGTAGGAATTTGGTCCATTACCGTTGGACAGATAGTGCATCGGCCTGAAAAAGTACGGTAACAATACCGTAAACCGGGGTGAGTTGATATGGATTTTGATGTTTTTCAAGATTTCTTTAAAAGCCACATTCATTTACGAAATTCTTTTTGTGCCAGTTTCATGGCACATGCCTTGGGGAGGCAATCAGCAAAAATGAATAAAAAATGTATATATTAAGCCCCTTTTTTAAAACGCCAAAGTTCATATCAACTCACCCCCTGGGGGGTGGTGAGTTGATATGGTTTTGGATTTTTCAAAATTTCTCGGCTAAAGAAGCTCAGAGGTGAGTTGATAAAATGCCAGTGTTTAAAAAAAAAAGGATGCGAGAACACATCCTGAAAGAAACCATCAGAAAAATGGTAGTAGTTTGGCACCAGACCTCACATTCATGAAAACGCAATCATGTTCAACACAACGCTATCAAAATGGCTTGATTTTAGCAGCATCATTTTTTTCGCTTTATGATACTTAGTTTTACTTAGAACATTCTGAACTTGACTAGTCACGTGTCCTCAAGCCAACGGTATCAAAACTGGCAATATATTTTGGAATTACAAGTGTATTTTCTTGTAATTTAAACACATTGTCAGTTGCGGGTCAAGGTTGATATGCCTCTGACAGAGATGATGGATTGAAATGAAAGAATACACATGCTTCTGAGCTTTTGTTGACTGGTAGTCAACAAAATATTAATGAAGTGAAGTGAAGCGAATCTAATTCGAACTGTATTCTATCAGAAGAAATAAGCGACATAAAACAAAATTCGGCATCAAAAGCCAAAATTAACCCTCGCACTTATAGGCGGTCGAACGGACCACCTCGGGTTTTCGCACATAACTCGCGCAAAAAGCGGCCGATCGCGACGAAACTTTCAGTACCTCTCGAGTTTATCAATTTTACACATGTTTTAAGAATTTCATGACCCTGATCCAAATGGCTTTTGACTTGTTACCTGATTCTCGAGATCATGCTTGGCCGGAATCGCGATTTGGCGTAGTCGGCTCACATTATCCGCGCATTTCCAGTCTTTTTGTGATTGTAACGTCCAAACATGTGAAATGATGTTGGTCCCATGCAGTATTGTGGGTGTCAACTGTCAAGGTCACCTGAAGGTCAGGTCAGGTCATTGACCTTTGGTGACCTTGGTTCACTTTTTGGAGTTTTACATGTTTCTAGGGTAAATTTTTTTGGGCCGATTTCGAATTTAATATGCATTTGATCATTTACGAAGTAGTTTCAGTGCCTTCGTAACATGTTACGACACCGTCAGTGGTAGTTGACACTTGACACTCCCTATGGATAGCCGGCAGGACACCTACTGGTTGACCTGACCTGACCTGGCCTAAATGTACGAAGACATCTGTGATCAAAACTAACATGACATTCGTGATCAGCAACAGCCAAAAAATAATAAATTCGCTTTACGAACTTCAAATAACCCCCTATTTTCCCGACTTCTGGGTAATTGACCTGGCCTGGAAGGTTAACCAATGACCTAGGACCTTAAAGTTGGTTATCATCGGCTTCCTCGCGTCTCGGGCAACACGCTCATTTTTTTTCCGCGAAGCTCTAGCTCCACCAGGGGCCAAACGACGATGGGATTCCAACGGACCCCCCCCCCCCCTATACGTTCAACGCTGGCAAAACACGAATACGGGCGAGGGCTAAAACACCAGTCAATTTCTTTATATTGTTTGTTCCATTTCATTTTGTCACTCATTCTCGGTTGGCAACTGCCAAGCAGGAAAACTAATCAATTTCACGAGATCAGAATTCCCGCGCTGTTAGCCATACAGAAACGACAGTCGTCATTTTCGAAACTACGAATAATTATAACAATTTTTTTAATCTGTATGTATATGGTGTTCTATAGTATTCCTTTGTAGCTTGTAGGGAGCCATCTTGAGACTTGACAGGGAGTTGTGCTGTGCCTTTTGCATGTTAGGTATGTCCACAGAAAAAAAAAAACTTTGGGGTCACTGATGTAACTTGTCGGACCTTCGTCCCCGTCTTGAGTTGAGATGTTATAGTTTCACAACGTTTCGGCCAGTTACTCTCCGGCCGTCGTCACTCGTCAGGTGTTCTTTGACCCTCAGAAGGACCTGGATGTTGGTGGCGTTGCGCCGTAAGAGTTAAACCGTTCGAAAGCTCCTGTAGTCAGCGGGAATCGAACTCGGGTTTCCCCGGTGATGGTCCACGGTTCTAACCACTCCACTATCGAGGCAGATTTGACTATGGCCGGAGAAGTTACTGGCTGAAACGTTGTGAAACTAACATCTCAACTCAAGACGGGGACGGAAGTCCGACAACTAACATCAGTGATACTAACAGGCCTCGTCTCAAGCAATCAGAAAAAAAACTAAAGCTTTTGGGGGTTGATGGAATGATGTGGGGAAAGACAAGGAGAAGAGTTGGTCTAATATACTTTGTCTTACCTACAGACCCATTTTTCATGCTAATTTGCATGCATACCAGCCTGGTATCAGCTTTTATCATGCATATCAACTCACCACCTGGTGGCATATCAACTCACCACCTGTCACTTTTCTTAAAATTATAAAAAAGCGTTGTTATAGGTGAAACCCAAAACTACCTGGGATCAACAGTAAATTGATGGTAGTTTCTTTCCCAGGGCATGTTGTTCAATGAATATCCACCGTCTTTGCTGTAGGGTGGGGACTTTTCCTTAGTTTCAAAATCAGAAGAAAAAAGGGACTTTGAAAAAAGTAATGTGTCAAGAAGGCACTGCACCACATGCATGCCTTTCTCAGCTATATATGCGTCGCTTATTGGTTGCTTCACTTCACAGAAAAATAAAACTGAAATTTGGTTTACAAATGGATGAGCAGCACACATTTTAACATTTTTCGAGCAATTTATATCAACTCACCACCTCATATCAACTCACCCCGGTTTACGGTACCTTAAGTTTTTAGTCGGCCGATCCGTCCCCCTGTCGAAAACTCGTGGCGACGCCCCTGAATTAAATGGACCCTCCCACCTTAACATTAGATTTGAGTTGAGATAGCCAAAATGGGGTCCCTGGCTCACAATTACCGGTTTCGGCACTCACAACATCGAGAAATACCTTAAATCGGAAATATTGAATTTCAAAATTGCAGCATTTTGATTCAGAGGGGCTAATGCTTAGGAATACCCCTCTGAATGTGTGACGTCAGCGCAGATATCTAACGATTTTTAAATGTATGACTAAAACGTTTTGTAGCACGCGGTGGTATATGCTATTTGCGCGCAACATCTGCCGCAAACGCCGCACTTCTAAAATAAAGTCGCTAGAAACAGGGGAGATCCCAAAAAAGTAAACAAAAGTAAAAGTCTAATATCTTGAAAACCGGTGAATATTTTTCGGTGAAATTTGGTAGATATTTGTTTTCGCTCTTTCTGAACCGAGCGACATCACTTTGATGCCAATTCATAAACTTTTTTGAAGGTGGGAGGGTCCCTTTAATAGGTGTAGACATCCCAAAAGTATGGATGGGAAGTTTTGCTGCTGACTGCTGAGCCCCCCCTGACAATATCATAAAGTTACACCCCTGCTGTTCTCTATTCTGGATCTGTCGACATCTGGGATTCCTATCCGGACATTGTCTCCCACTGACACCTCCTGCATCGAGCAGCGCGACCGCCTCAGCATTCTATCGGCCTGCCTCTGCTGCTGCTCTCGGGCAGCGTGCCGCTGCTGGACGGCAGGTGGTAGCTGGTCCTCGCAGGGACATTCATCGCCGTCATGCACCACGGCCAGGCACTGCTCGCAGTGTCTTGTGGAGCTTGTTGTCGGCGTGCTCCGGCCCCCGGTCAACAGACATGGTAGCCCAAATCTAGTCGGATATGAAAATTATTCTAAATCCATAGACTTTAATGCTAAATTGACTATATTTGAGAGGGTTTTATGAAGACACATGACCAGATACAGAAAAAAGCGAGATGCTATCTTGTAGAATAAATCGTCTACTATCTGCGACTTTTGAAGCGTTTTTCAATCTGAGGTACGGAAATCGTGTTCCCAAGAGACTGAAAGTAGCCATGCTTTACATTGGACCCAATGGCAAAAATTCGGAATTTGACGAAATTGGCCATTTTTACGTCTGATTTATGAAAATTCTAGACAGGATATGAAAAAACCCGAGATGCTATCAGGTGGGAAATTTCATTGTCTATTACCGCTTTTTGAGGTGTTTTTCGATCTGAGACCGGCAAACCGTGTTCCCAAGAGACTGAAAGTAACCCTGTTCTACAGCAAGACAATGGCAGAATTCTAATATTTGATGGAAGATATCTTAGGTGATAAAAACCTTACTACTTATTGCAATGCTTAATTGGAAAGCTCAACACTGGCACTATCATCGGTCTTTGCATTGCTATTTCACAGAACAACAATAAATAACGTTTTGAAGCCTTTGAATATTGACTTACTTTTCATCGACGGGCTCGATCCCCATCACTACCAACAATTTTCCGGGAAGTCAGGATTTTGCAGATATTTAAGCCGAATTGCAGAGCTGTGTTAATACTACGGCACTTAAATACACATTTCAGGAAAACCGCTTTTTTCTTAGCATGCGTTAGGTCTCAGAAACAGCAATATATCAATATAATGAGGAAGAATAAGTGCAAATGATCGCGCAAGAGAGTATCCTTAGCTCCCTAGCAACCACCTAGCAACGTAAGGCAAAATAGTAAACAACTCCTGTTGATATCAGGTACTCAGCCTTGGAAGCACACTGGACGGTCAATATACTGGGCTTCATACTGAATTTTGCATACCAGAATGGATGTTTCCAACTAAAATTATTTTTTTTGCGAAATTTATCTTTGTTGCCCTACTATTTTTCGTAAAACCGAGATATACAAACTTCATGATATCAAAAATAATATTGTGAAAATGAAAACCGCCATATAAAACAAGATAATTGCTGAGATCATGCCTACTAAACTTGGTCCTACCCCCTAATTCAATATACCCTGGGCGTGCTCAGCGTCCTCTGAAGCTCTTCCTCTGTTCGGAGAACAGCGGCAACTGTCGGCGGCAGCGAGGTCGATGGCAGACCGACGCGAGGTGGGCAGCCGAACGTCGCCTGGTACGGCGACCTTCCGATGCCTTGGTGGACCTGCAACAAAAAGCAACGCATGCATGCCAAGTCATTCTTACGCTAAGCACCGATACATATCTGCAGTAACGGATGTTAATGGTTAGGCTATATTTCACAGATCACAATGGGATAGCTACGGTAATTAATTTTTTTTTGTTTGATATGCGTGTCAATTCCGTCTTAAATTGGGTCAATGCTTTCTCATAACGAACAAAAGCAGAGTCTAAACACATGAACCAGGGGGGGAGGGACTGACACTGGAGGGTGCAGAATTTCTCCCCCCCCCCTCCTACAGGGCGCGTAATTCTCAGACTGTCTCCAACTCATAATAGTTAATTATGTTGTGCGAATCAGCTGCTTTTCATCATCATGCTAGATATTCAAAACAGTTGTGCACACGCAATAAGGATGCACAACAGCATCACCCCTTTGGTAAGATTCGGATGCTTTTTACAATTTTTGGGGCTTAAGATTCGAGGCGGGAATTATTGATTTGTAGATAAAACATTTTTACACATATTCAGTGAATCATTTGACAATTGTTACGTAATTTATTATTGTCCACAAAATATCTATCATTCCATGAAGCGGAGGTATTACAGACAGCAAAATATGTGAAGTTAACTTTGCAAGCTACTTTATGATTGACGCCTTAATTTGCATGCAAACATACCTGTGCATTAGGGTGGGTCAAGATGGGGGTCGATCTCTCGGATTTTGGGGAGACAGCACTTTTTTGTGTCCCGTGGTCCACTAGCACCGATTGCTCCCCATATAAGTCATGAATACGTCGTATTTGGTACGCTAGAGTGATTTTTCTGGTGTAAAAATTTCGCTAAAACAGGTCAACAGTTTTTCGCTTATAACTTTTGATCTAATTAAGATAGAGCAAAAACAAAAGCACCAGTGAACTCAGCACGCCAAGGCGCGTCGAATGATGTACTTTTTTGCTTGCTTAAGTGTACTTAAGCAGTTAAGCACATCTTAAGTACAACTTAATTTTTAAGAACGGTCGAAATGCTTAATGTTGCATATCATTCGACTCGGCTGTTCAAGAGGAACATAATGATACCATTTTGAAAGCTTTATCTTTATAATGTGACAAGTTATTGGCACAAAAGTCATTTGACCTCAGTTGACCACCCTTGGATAAGCACACCAAACAAAGAAGCACCAAGTGACATAATGTTAAGTACTGTGGTTTCAAAGCACAAAAGTGATAGAACGAAACGGATATCTCCAGTATTTTCCTATTTGAAAATTTTCCCATAGGCTTAACATTACGGCGTAATGACCTTTAACTGACCTCAGGTCAGTGACATATAAAACGAACTGTATGTTATATACAACTCGGTGAACTTACCACATCCTGAAACTTTGAAGGAAATCAGTCCAAAACTGTGAGTTGGACAGGTGCATAAAGAAACTTGAAATTTGACCATGACCTTGTACCGGTTTTTCGACCTGGTGACCTGACCCAAAGTCATCCGGACCTGAAATTTTCAGGTCATATGTAAAAAGGTTGTCCCATAGGCTGCGCCAAATTTGGCGGCCGTTTTTACACTATCTTTAAAAAACCTTAGGGGGGGGGGGTTGTATCAACTATTTGACATCTCTAACCTTGCCAGGGCGAAGGTTAGAGAGGGACTCTTCCTATTATTCGGCATCTTCTCCGTCACGGTCGTCCTGTTCTACCTCCTGCTCCCCCTCCTGGTCTGAGGGGGCCAGATTCGACCGCCGGAGGAGGTAGCTACTGATGTTCTGCTGCCTGTTGATCCTGGAGAGACAGAGCTTGCATGGCCTGCGCGTCGTAGCCATTTCCCTAATATCTGCGTCCGTGAGCCGATGAAAGTGATCTATGAAGCGGCGCGGCCGAGGAGGTGAGGGCTGCAGCTGTGTGACATCCACTGTCGGCGGACCCTGGTATTCGTCGTCAGAGTCGGTTTCGGACGGTTCTGTAGAGGCCTCCGGCCAGTTGGCACTCGAACTCCTGCCCAGAATACTGTCCAGGTCGGGCAGTTCGGGCAGGCAGGAGGGCGACAGAGGCAGCGGCCGTGGCGAGGGAGTCAGCAGCTGGTGCAGGTCAGGCAGCGACTCAATCTCATCGATGGTCTGCTGCGACTCGGCACTAATCAGAGAACCTGCTAGCGAGAGCGAATCATCGCTGGGGCTCAGAGGCTCGTTCATAGGTGCAGGTGGTGCCTCATCTGCTGGGACGTCAGCCAGGTGCGGTCGCTCTTGAAGCTGAAGCGGAGAATCCGCTGACTGTTGTTGACGAGGGACGAGCCTCTGGAGGAGGGGCCCTGCTTCCGGCTGCCAAGCCGGGAGGGCCCCTGCGGGGCCCGGCACGCGAGCTCCGTCGGGGCGGGGGAGGATCGGAGGGACCGTAGCTACACCCCGCACCGTCGCGTGCCAGGCCGCTATGATGCTGTTGATGCGTACCGCCCGCGGCGGCCGCTGCCTGCCTCTAACGACAGCGGCGGCGACTGGCAGCAGGGCCGGTGGCCACACTCCCGGCATACTGTACCGAAGGGGCCGGAGCAGGCGGCCGGTGCAGCACAGGGGCGGGCGGCAGCAGCTGGACTCCCAGCTGCTGCAGCTCTAGATCCGGGAGAGCCGCAAGGGCGGCCGCCCAGCCGCCGCGGCCGACGGTGACAAATATCTTCAGCCTGTCTGGGAGAAACTGAAAGTATTGGATGTCGGCGGGAACCTGAACTGTAGCTGGCAGAAGTACCCGACTCTCCTGCCGGTTCCTGGTCTGGTAGTTGTCGTTGATGAGTTGTTGGGCTACCAGAAAGTCCCGCCACTGTTGGTTAAACATAGGCGGGGGGAGCACCAGTGGCGGGGCCCGTCCACCGGGCGCTGGCTGGTCGAACCCAGGCGCGGTGTCGAATATCTGGTTCGACGGCTGGGAAGAGCGAGACGGAGGGGGCGGCTGCAATAGCGCCGCCGCTCGACGGGTAAGCTGAAATACTTGCATGTTTGATGTCTGCATTTGTTACGTGATTTGACTCCCCTCTTGTATTGGTTTTTAAAATCTAACCCTGATCTGGCCTGTCTGGATAGGTGGCGCCACTATCGCCTTGGGTGGCATTTATGATTACAGAAAATCTTATCTAGCGTACCAATTATTGGGTTTAGGGCAAATATTTTGTTATCGCTCATCATATAATGAATCAGCGCCATAAAATATTGCTGTCTCCCATCGATTCTAGATTATCGACCCACCCTACTGTGCATTCATTTGCCATTGAACGAACTTCAGCCCTTCAGACCAGCGGTGCGTGTTGTTCTCTTTCATCCAACAGCAAAGCTTTCCTGTTCGCGCGTTCCACTGATCCCTGAAAAATAAAGGGCATGGAAATGTTCGTTAAAGTAGGCAGAAATAAATGGAATGTGCTATAAAGGACAGAATCGACAGACACAGAAATTTATACTAAATTTGCCGGTGCAATCTTTAAGACGGAAAATATCTAATGAAAAATGGGAACAATTATAAATGAACTGAAAATCCAGTTTTGTTTAGAAAGGTCATAAAGAAGAACGTCACAAACATTTATCTTTCGTTTCTGTTGCAGAATCAATAGAACGTGCTTTAAAATTAAGCAGTTAACACGGAATGCCAACATAAATAACATTGGGGTGTTTTTTACGGATAGATTCATAATAG